AATACGACACACCATATTGATAGGATAAAAGACAAAAATCAAATAATCTCAACAGGTGCAGAAACAGCATTTGACAAAATCCAACACCCTTTCATAATTAAAAAAGAAAAAATATGGGGCATCTGGGCGGCTCAGTCATTGCGCGTCTGCCTTCCGCTCAGGTCATGATCCTGGCGTCCTGGGATCCAGCCCCGCATCGGGCTCCCTGCTCAGCAGGTACCCTGCTTCTTCCTCTCCCACTCCCCCTGCTTGTGTTCCCTCTCTCACTGGGTCTCTCTCTGTCAAATAAATAAAATCTAAAAAAAAAGAAAAAAGAAAAAGAAAAAAAGGACCCTGGATTTCATTTAAAAAAAAAAGAAAAAGAAAAAATATTCCACAAAATAGGACTAGAAAGCAACTTCCTCAACCACTGAAGGCCCCATATCACCACTTCCATTCAATACTGTGTTAGAGGTTCTAGCCAGTATAATAAAGAAGAAAAAGAAATAAAAGGCATTAGAACTGGACAGGAAAAGTAAAACTGTCTTCCTTCAAGATGATATGATTATATAGGTAGAAAAATCCAAAGGAATATACAAACCCACTATGAGAACTGATAAATGAATTGAGCAAAGTTGCAGGATACATGATCAGTATACATAAACCAATTATTTCTGTACAACAAATAACTTTAAAAAATAGAAAATGGGGAGCGCCTGGGTGGCTCAGTCAGTTGAGCGTCTGCCTCTGGCTCAGGTCATGATCTCAGGGTCCTGGGATCGAGCCCCACGTCAGGCTCCCTGCTCAGCGGGGAGTCTACTTCTCCTTCTCCCTCTGCCCCTCCCCCCCTGCCCATACTCTCTCAAATAAATAAGTAAAATCTTTAACAAAAGATAATAAATAGAAAATGGGGCACCTAGCTGACTCAGTCAGTGGAGTGTGTGACTCTTGATCTCAGGTCTGTGGGTGTGAGCCCCACACTGGGTATAAAGATTACTTAAAAATAAGTAAATAAAATATTTAAAATAAATGTTTTAAATAACCAAAAATATCAAATACCTACAAATACACTGAAAAAAGTGTATCTTCACATTGAAAACTGTAAAATATTGCTGAGAAAAATGCAAGAAGATTTAAATAAATGGAGATATACCATCTGCACAGATCAGAAGACCATGTTAATACTTCAATTCTAAAACTGATCTATAGGGGCACCTGGGTGGCTCAGTCGTTAAGCATCTGCCTTCGGCTCAAGTCATGATCCCAGGGTCCTGGGATCGAGCCCCACACTGGGCTCCAGCCCCGCATCAGGCTCCCTGCTCAGCGGGAGGCCTGCTTCTCCCTCTCCCACTCCCCCTGCTTGTGTTCCTGCTCTCGCCATCTCTGTCAAATAAATAAAATCTTTAAAAAAAAAAAAAAAAGAAAAAGAAAAAAACAGGCAAGGGGCGCCTGGGTGGCTCAGTCGTTAAGCGTCTGCCTTCAGCTCAGGTCATGATCCCAGGGTCCTGGGATCGAACCCCACATCGGGCTCCCTGCTCGGCGGGAAGCCTGCTTCTCCCTCTCCCACTCCCCCTGCTTGTGTTCCCTCTCTCTCTGTGTCTCTTTCTGTCAAATAAATAAAATCTTTAAAAAAAAAAAGATTTAAAAAAAATAAAATAAATAAAAAAGTTAATCTATACTATGACCCAGCAATTCCACTCCTAATATTTACCCCCCAAAAATACTATATTCACAAGACTTGCATAAGAATCTTGACTTTAGTCATAATAGCCAAAAAAGTAAAAGCAACCCAAATATCCATCAACAGGAAAAGATATTTTCATGCAAATGAATACTACTCAAATAAAAAGCAAAAAATACAGATACAAGAGTTTTGTTTCTTTTTTTTAAGATTTTGTTTGTTTGATAGAGAGCACACACCAGCAGGAGGAGGGGCAAAGGGAGAAGGAGAAGCAGATACCCGCTGAGGGGGGCACCTGATGCGGGAATCGATCCCAGGATCCTGAGACCATGACCTGAGCTGAAGGGAGAGACGCTTAACCGACTGAGCCACCCAGGCGCCCCCAGATACAAGCTTTTTTTTTTTTTTAAGATTTTTATTTATTTATTTGAGACAGAGAGCATGAGAGGGAGGAGGGTCAGAGGGAGAAGCAGGCTCCCCGCCGAGCAGGGAGCCCCGATGCGGGACTCGATCCCGGGACTCCAGGATCATGACCTGAGCCGAAGGCAGTCGCTTAACCAACTGAGCCACCCAGGCGCCCCCCCAGATACAAGCATTTAAATCAAAAAATCTCAAGGGGCACCTGACTGGCTCAATCAGTGGAGTGTGAAACTCTTGATCACAGAGTTGTGAGTTAGTGCCCCATGCTGGACATTGGAGATTACTTAAAAAGTAAATAATCTCAAAAGCATTACCCTGAGGAAAAGACGGACACTAAACAGCATATACTTTATAATTTTGTTTATATGAAGTTGGAGGACCTACAAAATTAATCTGTAATGACAGAAATCAGAACAATGGTCGCTTCAGGATTTGGAGGTTGGTTGTAGTAACTGAAAAGGGACACAAGGGAACTTTTAGGGATAACAGAAATGTTCTATATCTTGACATGAGTAATGTACACACTGGTGTATAATTTGTCAAAATTCATCAAACATATTTAAGATCTGCACATTTCATTGGGTGTAAAATATTCTTCAATAATTTTTAGTGGAATATTTTTAAGATTTTATTTATTTATTTGAGAGAGTGCAGAAAGAGAGAGAGAGCACACAAGCAATGGGGGTAGGCAGAGGGAGAGGGAGAAGCAGACTCCCTGCTGAGCAGGAAGCCCAACTCAGGGCTCGATCCCAAAAAATGGGATCACAACCTGAGCCGAAGGCAGACATTTAACTGACTGAGCCACCCAGACGCCCCGTAGTATTTTTAAAGAAATAAAAGAGTAAAAAAAATAGATAAAAGACTGTACATTCTGTGTTAAAAAGAAGGTTGCTTGCTGTACACAGATAGGACATGATTTCCAAGAAAACGATGGCTGAGGACGCTTTGAGGAATGGGGTGAGAATGAGACTGACTTCACGATACCTACTTTGGTACCTTCCCAATTTTACTCTTGAGTTCAGATTACCCTGTGCCTGGGCCACCCACAGAAGGTGAGAGTGAAAAGCACAAGCTCTAGAGTCTGACCACCTCAGCTGAGTCTTGGGTCTCCCATTTATTTATTGTGACATTGGATACATTCCTTAATTTGTGCCTCAGTGTCTTCAAGTAAATATTAATAGGAATATCAAAAATAACTACCTTGTTAGGTTGTTTTAAGAAGTAAATGTTTAGGAGGCGGACAGGGGAGGAGGGTGGGGAAAAAAGTAAATGCTTACTGGTTTAGAAGTCAAAATACAAAATTTAGCACCGGTTTTCACTCTGGTTTATAGAAAATTCTGCACAAGTCATGTACCTCCTCTCGTCAAAATGTGTTATATCTCACAAAGATACAGGGATAATAAAAGGTAAAGCACTTTGTTTAAAAAAAAAAAAAAAGGATGGTATATGCGATGCACTTTAAAAAGTGCCTGGGCTTGTTTTTCTAAACAAAGCTTTATTGGAACACACGCGTATACACAAAAACGTCTGGTACATAATCAGCTACCGTTATTATTCAAAAAATTTAGACAGTATTTTCAAAGTTGGCCTTTTCCCTGACCAAAAGAAAAAGGAAGGGGGGGCTTTAGTCAGCTGTCGGAGACGTAAATCCTGAGTCCATCATCTACTTGCCGTATACCTGTCTTTTCCTCTGAAAAATGGGTGATAATAGTTCCTATACCCTCGAGTTCCCTTGGGGCTTAAATGATTCGGATAAAGCACTTCAGGCCGCAGCACACACTCAATGTCGCTCTCGTGCTGTGTCTGTAAATACACCGCCCTGACCCAGCCTCGCTGGGCCCGTCTGCCCGCATCCCGATCCTGAGCTCTCCCCTGGGCTCCAGGCGCTCCCGCCAGGCGTCCTCTTGCTGACGACCCTCGGACGACCCTGAACCATGGGGAAACCTTCCCTGCCACCTGCAACCTAGAACAACACCCTGCTTCCCCAGCTCAGTGCAGAGCCACAGCCCGCCCACGTGTGCCACCGGGAGGCCCAGGAAGCGCCCCGAGCCCTCTCCAGCACCCCCCCCAGCCTGTCTGCAAGTCCCACGGCTCTGCCTCCGCGATCGGAGCCGACCTGCAAGGTCTAAACCGCGACGGCAGCAGCGCCGCCTCTCCTCCTCCTGCAGGCCCCACCTCCGGCTCCATCCCAGGGCCCGCACGAGCCGGGCTCCCAGCCCGCAGGGCGAGGGCGGCCGGAAGGCGCCGGCCCACTCTGGCCTCCGTGTGGCTCCCTCACCTCGGCCCCACGCTCGGCTCGTCTGCGTTCCCGGAGAAGATCCACCCCGGGCCACGGCGCGTGGGGGACCCCGCCCCCCGGCCTTCCCACAGCCAGCCGCTTCTCGCCTCTTTGCAGAGCCCCGCCGACGGGCGTCGGCAAGTCCAACGCGGGAGAGGAACCAGAGAGCAAGGACCACGAAGCTAAGGGCGCAGAGCGCCGCGAGGCCACGGGAGCAGGGGGCCGCCGGCTGGAGGGGGCTCGGGGACGCGGCCGGTGGGGAGGGCGGGCGGGGCGCCGCGGCGGCCCGAGAGCCTCCGTAACAAGTGGGCGGGCAACGCAGGCGGGCCACAGGGACGCTGAGCGGCCGGCGGGGGGGGACGCGACGGCCACAGGCCCGGGAGCCGCGGAAGGGGCGGCGAAGGGCGCGCGGGGGGCCGAGCTGACGGGCTGGAGGGGGGCCTGCGGCAGGAGGCGCGGGCGGCCGGGCGCCGCGGAGGGAGTCCCGCGGCCGCAGGCGGCGCGGCGGGGCAGGGGCGCGCGGACACCGCGGCACCGGCAGGCGGGGAGGGCGCGCGGGGGTCGGCAGCCGGACCTGCCCCGGGGACGGGGAGCGGGGGAGGCGAGGGGAGCGTGGCGGGCGGCAGGCCGGGCCGCACTCACCTGCCCCGCGGGCCGGGCGTCGCGGCGGCTCCTCGGAGGCCCGGGGGGAGGCGAGCCCGGGCGGCCTGGGGCCAGCCGCACGCACATGGGCCCGGCCGGGCGCGGCGCCCCCGGACACGGCGCGGGCCGGCCAGCGGCTCGGGACCGGCTCGGGCCGCGGGCGGCGCTGGGGTCGCTCCAAAATGGCGGCGGCGGCGGGAGCGCGCGCGCACGCCGGGGGGCGGGGCCGGGCCCTGGGGGCGGGGCGCGGCGGCGGGAGCGCGCGCGCGCCGGGGGCGGGGCCTGGCCCTGGGGGCGGGGCGCGGCGGCGGGGGGGGCGGCCCTCTGTCACTTTTTCCTCGGAGGTACTACCAAATTTCTGTACAAGCTTAACTAACTTGTTTTGGGATAATGCCATGTCAGCAACAGAACAACCCCTCCGGAGGCCTGAAGTGATCTGCGGGTCACGCACCTGGGGCAGGGGTCTCCCCGTTTTCCGCGGGCTTCCCCTCTACTTGAAGGCTTCTCCCGCCGGATGTCCCCTGAACTCCCTGGCACCTGGGGTGGGCACGGCCAGAGCAAGCGTGAACGGTGTGTGCCACGCGCAGGTCCCCTGCGTCCGTTTCCCACCTGGGCTGGGAGCCACAGACTCACTCTTTTTCCAGGTGCCCCACGGGTGCTTGAGCGTTTTGCACATTGAAATATGTGCCCATTTAATTCAATCAGAGTAATCTCTAAAATGAGATTTATCGGGCACCTGCGGAGCTCAGTCGGTGATGCTCTGACCTCGGCTCAGGTCATGATCTCAGGGTCCTGCGGTCGAGCCTCTGTGTCTCTCTCTTTCTCTCAAATAAATAAAATCTTTTAAAAAATAATAATAAAATAAAATACAGTGAGATTTATTGTTTCAAGAGTCAGCGTGAAGAGTGGGGAAATGTTGGAAATGGAAATCGAACACCTGGGGAATATCTAGCACAACGAGCGGCATCCCCTCCAAATTCACCGTGTGCTCGGAGGAAGTGGATCTGGGCCATTGCTATGCCAAACTCTACCAGCAGAGGGTGCAGGAGAGACGCTGCGGGAGAAGGGACTCGTTCTGGGGCTCGCTCTGCGGGTTGCAGGCACCACCTCCAGATGCGCTCTTCCCTGCGGCTAGTTGCTGCGGACAGCAGCTTCTCCAGCACCCCCTTGGGTGGCTGTAGGGCAGAATGTCTCTGGTGAGACGTCTCCCCCTGAACAGTTTCCCCCAGCATCCTGCAGGGCAGATATCTAGCAAGTTCTGCAGGGGCTAAAAAAAAAGCATCCGTGGGAGCCTGGGAGGCTCAGCGGGTTGAGCATCCAACTCTCAGTTTGGGCTCGGGTGGTGATCTGGTGGTTGTGGATTGAGCCCTGTGTCTGCGCTCAGTGCGGAGTCTGCTTTAGATTCTCTCTCCCTCTCCCTCCTGCTCACTCTCTTAAATGAATAAATAAAGTCTTAAAAAAAAAAAAAAAAGTATTAGCCCTACAAGCAAGAAGAAAAATGCCCTGCACGCCTGCAAGTGAAGGCCCCTTGTAGTAGAAGCTGGCGGTGCCATGGATTGAGCTGCAGAATGGGGGCTCAGGGCCAGAGGGCCCAATGCCAGAAATGTTCCCACTGTTTTTTCTGCTGTGTGAGTGCCCGCGACCCTCTGCCTGTCTTGATGTTCTTCCTGTGCTCAGGCCACAGTGCCTGGGGTCAGCCTGGGCCCTTCTCCTCTTAGATTCCACACTGGATTTATCAGCAAATCCCTCCACTTTTAAATATGGCCAGCTCTGCACAACCACGCACTGGTCCAAGACCAGTTTCTCTTCCCTGGCTGGTAACAGCAGCCTCCCAATGGATTCCCTGCTTCTATCCTGGATTCTTGCTATAGGCGGCTTACATCAGCATAGCACCTAGAGGGGTCCAGTGAAAACAAGCCCATCACATCCCTCCCCCAGCTCTTCTCTCATACAGCCAGAAAGCCGAGTCCTTGCTGTTACTCCAAGGTCCTGTGTGATTTGTTCCCATTTCCCCTACTCTGCCCCTTGTTCATTTGGTTCGATCATGATAACCTCCCGCCACAGCCCACTTGCCCATGCTTTCCTCTAGTTATTGCTGTGCTTACTAACTTCCTCCTAGATCTTACTCCCTTGTCCCCTTCTCAGTGAGGGCTTCCCTGACCTCTCTATTTCAAATCTCAAGCCTACATACACCCGTGCACACACATGTCCATGCACACATGCACACCTGATAGCCTTTCCCTGCTTGGTTTCTTCCCCTTTGTATCAGTAGTCATGGTCCAATAAGGGGACAGAAACCACACAATGACTTCAACAGAGAAAGCTTGATATAAAAATTATTGATAGCAGGGGATTAATTACAAAGGAGTAAAGGGAACTCTCTATTCAAGAAAGGACATAACTTGGAAGGGAGGTCCCCTCCCCAAGGTGAGAATTCATCCTGTGTTGCTGGGTTGTGTGACTGCAGCCCAGTGGATAACAGAGACATTCCCTGGGTTGTCTAGGGATAGAGGTGATATGAACAGAGGCTGATGGACAAGACTATACCCCTCCGAGGTACAGGCCAGTTCTGCCGAGGTGTCTGGGGGACTCCCTGAGAATCTGCCCACAAGGCTGATGCTGAAACTCAGTGGGAAGCCATTCACAGACCACTGCATGTCTCCCACATGTGGCTCTGGCAGCTACAGAAGAAAAAGAAAACACACCTAAACCAGGAAGTCCCTCTCCAACACTCTCTATGGGCAGAACTTAACATCTTGCCAAATGCAGAAGAGAAATGTTTCTAGGATCCAGCTGCATTATTGCAGAGCAGGCAAGCAGAGGTGGGTTTAGAGCTGAAGCATAAATGGAAAACGGGTAGAGTCTGACCTCTGGATAGTCAGTTTCCATTTGCATACTTTCAAACATATTTGAACTTCCACTCAACAACAAAACAATGCTATATTTTTGCCTAACAAGATACATCTGTCCTTACCGCAAGTGAAGAACGAGCATTGCAAATGAGCACATCTGCAGTCACAACTGCCACTGTATCTATGATTGGCTGCATTCCTTACTCTTCAAATTTCATCACTGTCCCATTGAGTATTCTCTTATGCTCTTACGTTAAAGCGAAATGATAAAGCTAAACTCTGACCACCTGTATATTTTAAAAACTTGAAAGGAGAGAGAAGAAAATGGTGAGTAGAGACAAGGAAGCACTGAACATGCAGAGAGAGAATATGTACAGCAACCACAATCCCGTCAGTGCTCACAAGACATAGTTGGTATGTAGGGCGCCTGGGTGGCTCAGATGGTTAAGCGTCTGCCTTCGGCTCAGGTCACGATCCCAGGGTCCTGGGATCGAGTCCCGCATCGGGCTCCCTGCTCCTTGGGAGCCTGCTTCTCCCTCTACCTCTCTCTCTCTCTCTGTCTCTCATGAATAAATAAATAAAATCTTTAAAAAAATAAATTAAAAATAAATTTAAAAAAGACATAGTTGGTATGTAAGGCTCCTTCCCAGCCTTATCTCCTAAACTGCTTTATAGCGTACACAAAGCAGCTAAAACAGAGCCAAGCTGAATTCAGTATTTTTTTTTAAAGATTTTATTTATTTATTTGACACAGAGAGAAAGCACAAGTAGGCAGAGAGGCAGGCTCTCCACTGAGCGGGGAGCCGGACGTGGGGCTCGATCCCAGGACCCAGGGATCATGACCTGAGCCGAAGGCAGCAGCCCAACCGACTGAGCCACCCAGATGCCCCTGAATTCAGTATTTCTGACACAGAAGGATCAACTAAAATAAATTCTACCACTAAGAACACCAAATGCAAAGTTATTCACCAATACATTGGAAAAAGTAAAACTGTAATGTAAAATGAGTGCTGCCTAGGGGTGCTGGGCTGGCTCGGTCAGTAGACTATAGGAGTCTTGATCTCAGGGTCATGAGTTCAAGCCCCACATTGGGTGCAGAGATTACTTAAAAATAAAATCTTTTTTGGGGCGCCTGGGTGGCTCAGTTGGTTAAGCGACTGCCTTCGGCTCAGGTCATGATCCTGGAGTCCCGGGATCGAGTCCCACATCGGGCTCCCTGCTCAGAGGGGAGTCTGCTTCTCCCTCTGACCCTCCCCCATCTTGTGCTCTCTCTCTCTTTCATTCTCTCTCTCAAATAAATAAATAAAATCTTTAAAAATAAATAAATAAAATCTTTTTAAAAATATTTTATTTATTTATTTGTCAGAGAGAGAGAGAAAGAGCGGCAGGCAGAGGGAGAAGCAGGCTTCCCGCTGAGCAAGGAGCCTGATGCGGGACTCGATCCCAGGACTCTGGGATCACGACCTGAGCTGAGGGCAGACGCTCAACAGACTGAGCCACCCAGGCGCCCCTAAAAGATACAATCCTCAATAAAATAAGTGCTACCTCTGGAGCACCATCAGAACAGGAGGGACTGTGGTCCTACCCTGTTCTGCAAGAACCCCACAGTGCTGCCAGGCAGGGGCAGGGCATCGCAAGACCACTGCCCCACAGACCCACAGAAGAGAAACACAGGGCGATCCACACCTGTGTACACCACATTCCTGCCTGTCAAAGACAGAAAACCATGAAAGCAGTAGAAGTAAAGGGTAAGAATGATACAATTAATAGCTGAAATCTCCTAAGAGACAATGAAGAACACGAGGCAATAAAATGGCATATTCAAAGTGCCAAAGGAAAAGTAAAACCTGTCAATGAAAAAATTCTATACCCGGAATGACGATCCTCAAAAATGAAGGTGAGATCAAGATATTCCCAAACAAAATAGAAAATTCATTGCTGACAAATCTGCCTTACCCGAAATACCAAAGGCAGTTCTTCAAGCTGAAAGGAAATGGGGCGCCTGGGTGGCTCAGTCGTTAAGCGTCTGCCTTCGGCTCAGGTCATGAGCCCAAGATCCTGGGATCGAGCCCCACATCGGACTCCCTGCTCAGTGAGAAGCCTGCTTCTCCCTCTCCCACTCCCCCTGCTTGTGTTCCCTCTCTCGCTGTGTCTCTCTCTGTCAAATAAATAAATAAAATCTTAAAAAAAAAGAAAGAAAGGAAATGACATAAGATGGTCATGTAAATCAGTAGGAATGAATGAAGAACCAAATTCAGGAACATGTAAAAAGTATTACTACCAAGATTATTGGGGTTTATCCCATTGGAATGCAAAGTTGGTTTAGTGCCCAAAACTCATTTAAT